ATATCAAATAGATAATGTTGATCCTTCCAAATATCCTGTGATCTAATCTTGAGAGGGAAAATAATGAGTCTTGTAATAATATATGACGAAGTCAAGTAACACCAGGACTCTCATAACTATGAATAATATTTTCTCTACCACTGATCAAGAGGAGTCATTGATCAAGAAGTCCTCAAAATAAGGTTGATCACACATTACAAGTCGTTAATGACTCTTCAAAACAACTGTACTGTCCTGAATACACACAACACATGGACCAGCTTTAAGCAATAAGCTTTTAAATGGAATCAGGTATATCAATAGTATTTGAAGACTAATGTTTTAGCTACATTTCTTGTTAGTGTCCATAAGGCTCAAATTCAGACAATGTCACCATTCTTTTAATTTGAAATGTGTGTATTTTAAAAACTGTCCAGTCCAGGGCAGCTCTTGTTTCCCAGTTATATCATTGTTAAAGAACAGGATGGACTAAATCACATCACTGGTTTTAATGATTTTGTTTTTGCATTTGCAGTGTCACAGGAATAACCAGGACATGGAGGTTGGAGGCATAGTGATACAGTGGTCACAAACAGAGCTGAAGGGTCAAGGCAGAAGGAGCAGACAGGAATAAGCCAGAGGATGCAGGCTGAGAAAAGGTTCAGGCAGGAACAAGCCAAAGATCATGGAACAGACTAGGAATCAGGAGCACTGGGGCTAGACAGAGGGGAAGATCTGTCTAGGTTGATGCAAGTCCTCAATGTACTGCAATGGACTGCTTACATACAGTAGTCACAGCCAAGTACTCTATATACAGCACTCTGTATACAGCTTATATACAGTAGTCACAACCAAGCACTGGTGGCCAGCTGAGGGCACTCAGGAAGCCAGCAGGCAGTCCCATCCAGACTATTAGACAAACTCCTGACATGTAGTTTTAAAGTATTTATCATTTTATTATAGAAAGGATTACTAATTCAAATATGTTGATAAATATAGCATTTATACTCTGTAACCTTTATGCTTTATATAACTTTATTCTCCTTTTTTGCTAAGCAGGATGATATGCTGTACACCTGTACATTTATTTGAGTAATTGACTTAAAGATGTGAATTTATATTTTTAATTTTTACTATTTTTACTGAGTTAGAAAATGGTGAATCATCCATTCTTCATAAGAAAATTAAAGTTTTACTTAGTATTTGTGCCAAGTTTTATTTTGATGGAGATTAAAATCTAAATAAACACACAAAAGCATTATTCTGAAATAGATTTTTTACTACTTAAGTAAAGCTACCCTAAATGTTTGGTACATAAAAATAAATTTTGGTTGATTACACAATGAACTTATTACCTGTAATGAGGGAACTGAACTAGTTGTTTCTAGGTTCCACAGCCTTCAAGATTTTAGAGCTAGTGAATCTCCTATGATCCCTGCTGACTTCCTGTCCCTGGGGTGGGGGACTGGACTCGATGATCCTCCGGGGTCCCTTCCAGCCCTAATGTCTATGAAATCTATGAAATCTCATCCTTTTGCATCTAATTTATGTAGTTTGGAAGAGGAAAGCAAGGCCTCCTGCTTTTCAAGCTCCTCATTGTTTTCTCATCTTTGAATTAATTAATCACTAAGCTGAGCTAATTGTATATACTGATATGAAGAGAACAGTCTCTCTGTGATTACAAAAGAGACTATTATCAAACGCCGGTTTTGTTTTGTTTCTAGGTGCTTAAGTGGTGAATTTAATCATTTCAGTGGTTTGACTTCCTTCAAAATGTTGGCAGCAAATGTACATTGAATAATACCATTTTTTATTTAAATTATTTGAATAGACTCAGTCCTTCACACAGGTTTTAAGAATTAAGCAAGTTTATTTTTGCAAAGGAAAATGCATTTTATTTAAATAAAATCTACTTTAATTAAAAACAAAACCTTTTTTTTCACTTAAATAAAGAATATCCTGTCTGATAAGTGATCTTCAGAATTCATCTGCTCAGCTCCCTTGACTGGAATCTGGAACTGTCAGTAGCTTAAAACAAATACTTTTTTGACCAAGTTTGTTTTATGCACTCTTAGGGTTCAGCAGGCATTGATTTGGGGTTTTTGGTCCTGTCTTTAGGCACATAAGCTTTTTTTTTTTGGATCTTGCTCCTGGTCCCCTGATAAGAAGTGGGATTAAAACACACTCTTTTTTCCTGCCTTCCCTATTTACACTGTGGGGAATTATGCAATTATGTGCCTGTGCAGTTTTGCACATAAAAGGTATGACTGTGAATAATTGCATAATTTTTCATAGTTTAACCTGGGTGGGTTCTGTGCCTCCACCTCTGCGGGGCTCCTGGTGCTCCAGCTGGGAGCTCCATGTAGAGGCATCGAGCGTGGTGGTGCACAAGTAGACAGCTGGTGAGTGGGGAGGGGAGCTCTTGCCTACAGAAGGAGTGGGGTGGTGGTTGTGCACCATAGGGATGGAGGAGCCACATGCCCCTCCATCCCTATGGTCCATAACCCCTGCTGCCAGTGGCAGCAGCAGCAGGTAGCAGGCCCTTAAGGCACCCATGGCTGTGGCAGGCAGAGGCCCTTGGCAGCACATATCTCCAGGTGAGTCCTGGGGGCTGCATATGGTGACATGGAGCTGGCCTGGCTGGCCTGCTGGCACATGCCTTCAACCCAGACCAGGAGTGCTTCATGCCAGCATGTGGGGCTTGCAGCACTGCAGGTGGGAGCTGCATACCATCAAGCTGAGCTGGCTAGCTCCATGCCTCTTCATGGGGCTTCCAGCACCCTAGTGGGGTGCCACACATGGAGGCATGGATCCTGCCTGGCCCAATGGCACACAACTCTGTGCCTCCATATGTGGCTTCCCACTGGAGTGCTGGAAGCCTCACATGGAGTCACAGAGCCCACCTAGCCCAATGGTGCAAGGCTTTTGGTCCAGGAGCCATCGGGTTGGGCCAGCTCTGTGCCTCCACATGGGACTTCCAGCACTCCTGTGGGAAACTGAATGTGGAGTCATGGAGCCTGCCTGGCCTGATGGCATGTGGCTCCTGCTTGCAGTGCTGCAAGTCCCACATGCTAGCATGGATCCAGCCTGGTCTGGTTCAGAGGTGTTTGCCAGAGGGCCAGACCAGGCCAACTCCATGCTGCCACATGCAGCCCCTGGGACTCAGCACATAATTTTGAATTTTTTTGTGCCTAATTCCCTCGGGTGTACCTATTGGCTAGTTGAAGGGGCTTTTTGAAGTGTTGAAGCCTTACCTATCTGCAGCTTTTAAAGACAGGATCCTAGACTGCAAGTATAACATAACAATTCCCATGCCTTTAAGGATGTTCAGCAGGAGAACAGCTCGCATCAGTATAAAGAGTTTGCACAGATGCTTTATACATTACATAATGTCAGGAGTTTTATAAATTGATTAAACCACTTAATATGCAAAATTTTAAGAATACTCAATGAGCTAAAAACACTTAGTGAGAACCCTTGAGATCTGGAGTCCTACTGCATCCTACTAATGACAAATCAGAACACCGAAGAAAACTGATTTAAGAGCATGAAAATGCCTGACAGTTGACTTCATTGGGACTCCACAGAATACACACCCTGCACTAGATGTTCCAATTTAAGGATGATCAGAGTATACTGATGTAGTGCATGTATACATGTGGCTAGTTAAACATTGCCCACAAAATATATGACATCAATGTACATTCAGTACATGTATGTGTGTGCCCTTATTTCTAGCATGCCTCATGGTTATTGAGGTTGGCCTTCAAAGGGGGCTTGCTTAACAGGGAGAGGAGCACTTCTGAGTGAAATCCCAGTGGAAGAATGGCCCCTATGAGTGCTGGGTGCTCAGCTAATGTAAATTTGTGTAACTCCACTGATGTTATGACAACCGCTGAGGATTGAATTAATGAATCACTGAATTACAGAATTCATGTAATATTGATTCTGTAGCAGATATACAAATATATACCTATACTTACAAATATATACCTATATATACAAATAAAGAAACATATCATGTTATATTCATATATACCAGTGGTTCTCAGCCAGGGAGTGGGGTGCTGTGAGACCCTTTCAGGGGTGCCACAGAGCCATTTCTGTCACTGTGTTTAGGTGGAGCTTTACAGCAAGTCTATGTTTGCAAGAGGGGCAAGCTAAGTGGACCGGGAAGCAGCTGCAGTAGGAGTCCTTCCACAGCCCTTCCTGGTCTATCCGATACCCTCCCACCTGGACACAGTTATGGGGGACAGTTCTTCCTGGCCATAGCTGGGTGATGAGGACATGAGCTGCAGGTGCTGACCATGCAGAGGACACTGGAACAGAGGCAGTGAGGGGCGGGGGGTGCTGGAATGATTGCAGAAGATAGAGACATCTCTGTGCTCAGTACAGGCTCACCCAGAGGTTGTTCACTTTGGCAAGGCGGATGGGCTGAGCTGGGCAACCTGGCTCCCCCTCCCCTCTGCTGGGGGGTAACAGCCCCTGTGAACCTTTTCACAGGGACAGCCAAATTAAAGTGTTTACAGCTGGGATCTACTTGCAGATCCTGGCCCCTGTGAGAGGGTTAACAGAGGGCCTGAACAAGGCTGATGAGAGAACTTGTCCTGGGTCCACAGCATAAGCCTGCAGCCCCTAGGTGAACCCATGCTGTGGCAAGTAAGACTCTGCCTGGCCTCCCACTCCTCTTCTCTTGCTCTTGCCACAAGCAATTCCCCCTTCCCTCCACCTCCACCCCTTGTCCAGGGCACAACACTAATGAGGGATGTTGTTGGAACAGTGCTCCCAGCAGGGGTGCTACCAAGTTCAGCAAAGTTATGGAAGGTGCCTTGGGTCTAAAATAAGTTGAGAACCACTGATATATTCATGTAATATGTATTCACTTATGTACCTGTATTGTAGATGCTTTGTTGGAGGAAAAACCTCCCATACCTACATTGTCTCCTTGGTGTATTGTTAACCAGCAAGTTTCATTATTTAGTTCATCACAAAGAAAGGCTAAGAAAAATGAAATTACTCACATTTGTCTTTTCCAATTTGCGAATGCACAGCAATGGCTAGGATAGGTGAGATTTGCCTCAATCAATGCAACAAACTTCTCCAAGGCAG